AAGTAGACTGGCACTTTTTCGGATCTTGAGCAATTCTGCTGAGATCAAAACATTTCACAGTGGATGACGGACCCTGAAATAAAAAATAAATATTATCACCTCTTCACGATATATTATCTGTTTTACATTATTGTTTTTTTTTGTGAAATCTTTTTAAGCACTGTCAAAGTTGATTATTTCTTTTTAGATGTAGGTGATATTCAATTGACACTTCAGTAACATTTTCCAAAGCCATTTTTCCCCGAACTCAACGAAAACCGAATCAACACTGAGTAAATCAGACAATTGTTCTCGAAGTAGACTTCAAATTATGACATAATTGTGGACCAACTACTCCAACTAGCTGTCTAGAGAAAATCGACGAAGTAGTCATGTTTTTGTTGTCATTAGGAATAATGATTTATGACTTCCTGATGATTGACGAACTGAAGAAATGTATCATGGGTGACAAAATGTTTGTTAAAGAGAGATAATCATCTTCCAGAGAATAGGTTCGTCAATTTTTTTTCGATTTGAAGTTGTTTTATATTCACCATAGAAGATTCATAGCTTACAGTGGAGGTAACTAAACAGGAGGGGGTGAAAGAACTTACTTCACCACATGAACAATTCAATAATGATCAACGATCATGGACAAAAGTGCATATGTTCAAAGGATGAATCCTTCATGATCAGCAAATTTTTAAAAAGAAAAATTATAGAGCAATGCTTATGTTAGTTTTTGAGTATTGTTAAAAAGTCTGAATATACCTACCATTACTGGTGGAAATAGAAAATTACTTATAGGGGTGTGTGACTGTGTATAGCTGTTAGGGAACAAACATTTTAACTAGCTCAATGAGATCCTAAATTGCAAAACTTGTTTGATTTGATGAAAATATTCAAAAGCACCAACATGTGGGTCAGAATTTGTTAAATTAGGTTAACTTATCACAAATGACAATCGAGAAAATGACACTTGACAATAATGACGCTGGGGATGAAACACAACATAATAATGACACAAGTCATGTCAAAAACCAAGGAATGTATTGATTCGAAATGGCATAGCACACAGAAGAGAATTGAAGTTAAGATAATAGGGAGTTGACTAATTCAAGACTATCGAATCGAGTTTGTTCATTGAGCCAGTTAAGGTTATAGTTTTTGACAGCTTCATTGATTTCCAAGGTTTGAAAGAGGTTAAGATCTTTTCCTTTGACACAGATATGTGAAATTTCAATTTTGGAATTGAAAACAGAAAGAAGTTTGTCATCGATAATATGGTTAGGAAAAACAGAATTGGACTCAAAAAAATCTTATTCAAAATCATTTTCCATGATACGATTGTGTTCTGACACTCTGGTTTTGAACTTGCGACCTGTTTGACCAATGTAGCAAACTTCACAATCATCATTTTTTCAATTCAATTTATAGACACCAGATTTTTTCAGAAAGTTTCATATTGATGAAGATTCTAGATTAATGACGATTCACAATGAATAAATTCCTGATGTTGATAATTGTTAATGAAAAAAGTGTTGTGATGTCCTCTTGAAATCCAAGAAATCTGATTGAAATAATTGTATTCAATAGTTATACCATTATCACAAGAAGACAAGATCATAACCCCAACTAAAACTTGAAGTTATGACAACTATGTCAAGTATTACAAGTAACCCAGATGTATACTGTGACGAGTACTGTGACGACTAGATAGTCAACCTGGTTTCCATGCTTAAGTTTGAGGAAGAATGACTTCAGTAACCGTGCTTGAAATATTTTATGTTAAAATATCAAACAGGATGAGCAAGAAAGAGCAGCAATCGGTCTCATGGGACGGTAAATCATCGTTTCATGAGGAAAAAGCGCAATAAATCAGCGCCAGCAATTAAATCCATTTATCCGGATGGAATGCTCGAAAACGAATCAATTTTATTCGTGCCTACAAATAATTAATAAAGTCACATATTTTAAGTGGGCACAGTGCATATATTTCACTTATCGGCTTGTAATTGCTACCAATGACGTTAACATACAGGGGCGGTACATATTCTACATAGAAAAAACTACATAAGCTTATAAGTTGAGAATTAGGAATCGGATGCGATGATCAAGAAGATCATCCCTTATCTGCTTCCCGAACAGAAAGAGTTTAGATTATCTCATCTGTTGATATCTCATTAGTTTCCTGGCTTCCACAATTTTTTTTCCATCCAAATACCAAAATGATGAGAATTCATTAATTTCTACATTTATTTTATTCTTCTCTTGCCCTCACTTTTGCTAAATTGACGTATTGAATATGCATGAGTATAAGTAATATATTCCCGTATATTCCCAATGATTTCAATAAAATATTGCTGTGGAAAAATATACAGGATGTTGAAGAAGATTTTTTTTAGTTTTTTGCTAATTTTACTGAATATGAAATCGATTTGAAGAAGTGTTGTGATTTGGTTGCCTTCTGCCTGGATATTAGAGATATTACAATTCATACCTTCTGGCTGATGCATCCCTCATTTTTTCATTCGTAAAATGTGAGGCATGAATATCGAATATGTATATTTCCACATGTTCAAGTTTTACAGGTCAACATAAGTTCAAACATCTCGTCAGATGAAATTTTTTTCGGAACAATTTTTGACCCAAATTATAGGATTGAAAATGTATTCAATTTGATACTGCACAGGAATATGTATTATATATGTGTGTTCCGGATAACCAGGTTAGTGGCCCATAGCAGTTTTCCGAGGAGTTTTCATTTGAAAAAACTGAATTTTTGATGATTTGAAGTCTGAATCGATTCATTAAAAAATGACACAAATCATAGGTACAGTCGTCTTCAGAAAACATGTCGTACATAGAAGATGACAGCATTCTCAATAATGCAATAGTTATTGAGAATGCTATCATCATAAGATAAGAGCACTGACATCGTCCAACCGCGACATGATCTCTGAAGACGACTGTACTTCCCGAGAAAAAATATAGGTTTCTGAATTATTGTGAATAGCATAGGCCACGAATGCATTCGCGAGGTAAAATGATTATACAATTTCAATTTTATATCCTGAAGAAATTTAAGTTTGACATGCATCACAATATTTGAACGTATTACGTATTAGGAAGAAAGTAAATCCCAAAAATTCTAGTGAATTTTATTTTCATTTGGTCATACAGAATGCCAATGAAACGATATGTTTCAGCTGCTTTCGATTCCTCTCGAATAAAAGTTTGATGCACGCTACTGTTACCACATAATTAATTACTGTATATTAATGTTGCAGTGCAATTTATTATGAGAGCACGTTCGTACACAGGACAATGATTGATGTTTCACACTGATACATACAGAGAATCGTACCATTCATTATGAAAGCCAAGATAAAAAATTCCACGAACGAACTTTTTTCTAAAATATGGGTTCGCACGAGGAACCGATACAAGAAGAATTTGAGCGGTAAACGTGAAGCCTCTCTTGTATTCCTTTGGATATGGGCTTATAATTTGAACACCTTGATGCAGGCACCCTCTTATCCTTGGCAGTGGAAGCGCACAATTTAATAGGACAGTTATTATTTATATATTTTTCAAGGTTATTCATATGTAGGTACTCGAACATCGAAGTAGGTATATAAACTTCGTTACTTCGTGTCGTATACCAGACTCTGATTCAAGAAAAGGCAAGAAAATGTCGATCTATATAGTCACTGGAAATCAATTGAAATCATATATTAGTTCCACAGGTCTATCTGGCCAATCATGATATCCTATCCTAATATTTCATTAATGTCTATTCTGTTTCTTCTGTTACCAATTTATGATGTGATACTTTTGGATGTCTCTCATAACTTCATCTTTCCACCTCTATCTTGGTCTTCCACGCCTAATCTTTTCTCCCACTGTAGGTAAATACTCTCCATATTTTTTTCGTTAACCTATACTATTTTCTATCCTAGTGATGTGTGCTTATAATATCAGGTCCATTGTACACTTGTACAGCTTCTACAATTATCTGTTAGTTCTCCTCTCTCGCCTCTCCCATATCACAATCTTTTTGTTTTTCGAATATTATTCCTTTTTTTTTTCCTTTCCTTAAACTCATAAGAAATGTTCTTCTGTTTCACGAATGGTCTCACTTCACTAGCAAAAATCTCGGCAAAAATATAGCTATTGGTCGTAATACCCTTTTATTGATTCTCAATTTGAGTCTTTTTGAGATGCTTTTACCATCCATAGAATTCTTTTTCTTGTTTCTGACTTCCTATGAGTCCCAAATCCTGACCGTCTGAATGATACTGTGATTTCATATGTTATCTTGAGACAGTGAAAACATAAGTACTGAAAAATTATTGAAAATTAGAATATATCTACTAACCCTCCCATAGTGCTCGGTTCAGAAGTATTCAAGGGTTCAAATAAGGTTCTAATGTTGAAATTAATACATGCACAACACCTCCACAGCAAATAGAGGTTGAAAGAGGTGGAAACAGAGTTTTTCAGTTAGGTATCTGAAAACATTATACATTCTGTGGAAATCGGAAATCTCGTCGAAAATGTACTTATATCAGAATATGTTTATCACTCTCTCACATATGGAAGCCTCATGGAAGATTATAAGATTACGTACCACATTTTTTTATGAAACATGCTCGACTGATACCAATATTATTTACTAAGTTTGACAAAAGCTTTTCTTCCGGGTATTTCCCGATTTATTTCATTCTACCTAGGAGGTAAAAGTATCTCCGAATTCTGTGATAACTAATATTATTTTATACATATATCCAAGACTTCGGAATCTTTGGCTCAATAATCACACTGTTCTTTCACTAACCACACCGATTTGATTATGTTGGCATCTTCCGAGAAATATTGAACTGATCTTTTCCTGAACATGCTAGTAAGCAAGACACGTGTAGAGGTGTTTGATTAATCGGTTTGGTTAGGGGTAAAATAGTGTGGTACGATTGTTTTAGAAGTTATCTACAATGTTATTATCTCCTGAAATACCTCAATCAGCTCCCAGTGTTCTGCTGCTGGTCCCACCAATGCAGTACATCAACAATATTACATTTGGGCTCGCTAGGCAGCTCATCATCATTCTTGAGCGAAATAACGGGAAACTCATCCACTTCAGACTTTATCTCTACCTTCATCGTCGGGCTCAACCTACCCTGCGGACTATCAAACACAGGAATGAAATACCCTTGAGTACTCCTCTCCACAGAACCCGGAGACATAGAGCTCTCACTTTGAAAACCCGGAGACAGAGACGCTGTAGTATGGACGTTGTTCAAGTAAGACAGCTCCTGGCTGTCGAACTCGATGTTGTGATCCAGCAGGCTGGGATCAGAGAGAATGTCCTCATCAACAGACATGGGATCCAAGTTCTCCGCATTTTCGTAATGCACGTTGGGGATTAAGTGGTAGGTGTTGGTAGCATCCAGCTTGATGAACTGCTGCGGCGGTGGTGATATGTCAGAAGACATATCATCGTCATCTTCAGTGGACAGTATGTAAGAGAAAGTGGCGTTTTGTTGGGAGCTACTGGGGGAGATGGAAGAACTAGGTGAGCGATACAGAGACTCTGAGATGTCTGCGTTGTCTGTGTCCATAGCTAGGATGTGTTCCAGGCTTCTTATGTACTCGACAGCCATACGAAGGGTTTCTACTTTACTCAGTTTCTTGTTACCTCCTCTGCCGCTGGTATTTTCGAAAGCTGCTGCGATGAAATTGGGGATGTGCTGTCTTAAAGTAGCGAAGCCATCGTTGACTTGTTTGACCCGATTGCGTTCTCTAGCGTTACGTCTAGCTACTGATACTGGTTGCAGGTTGGGTTTAGGATCTTTTTCTGTCTTGTGTTTCTTTCTAGCTGTGTTAGCGATGAGGATGTCGTCTTTGGCGGTAGTTTCTGGGGTAATGTAAGTTTGCTGAGGTTTGCGCAATACTATGATCTGCCTGTCACTCTGTTTGTTGGTCACTGTGTTTTGTAGGACGTTTAGGTGGTTATGGGGCGAGTTGTAATGCACCACACTGATCTGAGACATAATGAACACTGTTTTATTTAGTAATGTTATAATTGATCTAACGGTCCACTGTGGAGTTTGTCATCACTTAAGAGAGGTCACTAACTAATAAAACGACGAGCATGTCTGCGTGCTACACCGGATGTTGTAATTAATTTGGCGCGTAAATATAGAACGTCGCGTGCTATAGTATTATGTTGGAAGGAATGAACTGAAGTTTATTTCCACCAAATTCGATGGAACATTCGCACATGGCACGAGACACAAACCCCACCCATATTCGAGGGGTGGTTTCTGGATCAACAGCTGTTGTGTTTCGTTAAGCGACGAATGTGTATAATAGGGGACCCGTACGGTAAACATAGGCGACGCGTATGTGCGAGGATTCAGGTAGTTCTGGTGAAGTGTGAGGGGGACGGTGGATGTAGAATGTAGCGGTATATAATATACAGGAATTGTATGGATTGTTCGGAATTTTCGAGGCAAATCTAGTCTGAAATTGAAAATAGGGGAGTAAATCTACAAAGTGTTCGATTCGGGAATAAAATAACCAAGGAATCATATCGACGGTTCAACATCTTAATTCGCTCATAACTCAGAGGTTTGTTCATGAAAGATGTTTAGCGGAAGAACTAGAACTAGTTGTTATATAATATGGTGACATTTCGAAAATGGATCGCTAAAAACGGAGAGAAAAATATGTTTGTGAGATCATGTTTGTCAATGGGGTCTTAGATACGTCATGAATATAAAGTGAATTCAAATGAATAACAGATCCGAATATTCATTTTCATTGATAAAAAACACAGAAATTATTTCGACATGTGCAATACTTCACAATATTCCTCTCAGTACCTTGAGATGTTACCCGAGATATTTGAAAATCGTGGTAGTCCAATAATTTGAGAAAGGTTGAGTATTCGATATTTAATAACACGAAAACCAATGAATATTGAACTACGCCACTTTGTGAGATCATAGAGTATAAGAATATAAGTTATTTGACGAGGTATGTCAAATTCCGATTTTTATGAGATACGTCATTACGTGAGATAACCTACGATATACATATAGAAATCGAAGAATCAACAGTACTTAGTTTTTTAAGTGATTACCAACTATTGACAATATCGATTCCCAACGATAACCGCTGATGAGAAATCATTCACATTTACATTTAGTTTATTTCAGATCATACCTGGAAAATCATTGAAAAATGGAGCAAGCACTGTTGATTTTGAAAAGTCAAATTTTGTAAAAATATATTACAGTTTGAGTAGTGGTATTTTCACAAAGCCATCAGAGTGATTTGATGATGGGGAGATTACAAATTTTTCCAGTTTTTCGTACTAATATGCCCTGAGGTAATTGAGATATACACAGATAAAAATGATTTATTCAATCAAACTAATCCTTTTTCTTGAAATTCAATTGCTTCATACAAAAATGTTTCATTTGAATAGGGCAATATACACAAGTCTCAAATCGATTGGCTTCCTTCCTTGGTTTCTTGAAATTACTTGATATGAATTTGCTCAACATAAACAGTATATTTCCTCATTCAAGAAAACCGCAACCACCATAGTGACATATATGCTGACAATTTATATTTGTTCAAGAAACTCTCCGCTTGTCTAAAATGATTGCAGTGACGTACATACAGCGATGAGAGACAAGTGAATGCCTGCGCTCGCGCTCATTCGACTAGTTAGTCGTTAGCCGCCATTTGCCAATTTTGCCAGTGCCGCTGTTGTTTCTTCTGAAGACGGTGCACAGGTATAAAACATTTGTTTTTCAATGATTATGTGTTCAAGAATCAAGTGTGCTGAGTCAATTATTGAGTCATGAATATAATAATGGTGTGGTATCATCTTCAGAGCAATGCGACATTTCACATTTGGGGACAATCTGCGAGGGTAAATTAAATACGTGTAGGTATAGGTATTAATTTTGAACAGAAACGAACTCTGAATTTTGTATATTTTTGTTGGACTGAGGTGATTCCCTTCTTATTTTATCGAAAACTTGCTAAGAACCTTCATGTCAATAGTCATACCTCAAAATCACTTTTATTATTATTTATTTTATGATTGTATAACCTGCACAACAACAATAATAATTTGTCTCCTTCCTTCGAGTTTTCACATATTATTATATAGCTATAACAACTTTTATAGAGGATCTTTTGTCAAACGCAGAATTTCTTGTATCCAAAAAATATCTGATGATCTTAAACTTTTTTGAAATGACGATTTTACTCTTTTCTCTAGGTTTTCGTGGTTCAATATTCAAGCACAGTGACATCCTGGGGAAAAAGACGAGGACAGCAAATCACAAAAATATAAGAAAATTAATATTCCCCCTCCTAGATTAAGCTACAGACAGTCTTTGATGATTTTACTATTATGTATCTGTTTTCATTTATATTATACATCTTTTCGTTTCTGTTATGTTACAATAGGATGGCCAAGTTTTGATAATGAAGCTTTTTGTTCACAACTGTGAGAGTTTATTCTATCCCATTTATGAAACCATCAATACTCTAATAGAAGGCTGTATTTCGATTTCCTTCAAAATCATATTCTCTTGGCACAAGAAAATAAGGATCTTCATCCACTTATGATAATAACGAGTAACAAGCTCGAAATTTCTTGATTCAAGAATAACATTGTTGAATAACGATGGGAGATTAACTTGACACTTGACAACTTCATGAATGAATTGAACAATCAAACAAACATTTGATTGGACCCATTCAAGAGCCGCATATGGTTAAACCATCAATAGTTGAATCAATGCTGTTCCGCATTGAATCAAGAAATCTTTTTTATCTGTGAGATATCAGTATAGACTCAAGAACAAAAATAAAATACTTTTCGCTGCAGTTTTTTTTATTTTCTAGTCATGTATTTATATTCCTATTTTTATGAATTCTATCATTTATTAGCCAGAGTTCATCTTCAATGTCTCAAAAACAATTCACTTTCTAATGATTCTCTGATTATTTTTGTATTCCACATGGCTATGCCAAAACTTGTCTAGAAAAAAGAACATGCAGAAATTTCAAACAAATACCCACCATCATTCATTATGTAACAAAAATTAAAAAGAAATCATTGAAAATCAAAATATTTTCATCTTCCAGAGAATGATTTTGATTGATTCTGAATAGGAATCAAGAACTGAAAAAGTTCACTCGGTGCAATTTAAGATGATAAACTTTGAGCAACCTGTCAGTTGAAACGGACGTTTTTTTATATTTATTTCGAATCAATATTTCCCAAAAAATGAGATTCATTCGAACAGGTATAATGTAGAAGAACAGCGACTACTCCCGAATATTATGCAGCTCGTATGTGCCACAAGTTGTTTTTTCATGAAAAGGTACACCACATGTTAGTGCATCCGACCTGCTATTATGCGCACATGTGGCATTGGAAACTATTTTTATAGCGATGCATTTCGAATCAACATTTGGCATCCAGCGCCACTCAAGAAGCAAGACCATTTCCTCAGTGTTGGTGATGGCGAAAGTTATCATCCCAGACCCATATGGTCCCTAGACGAATAACACGCTCTTTGGTTTCCACCATATGGAAGTGTATATATAGGTATACTTATTTATTGTGCGTCTTAAGCTAATCTTCCGTCTTCCGGAAAATTGACTTTACAAATTCCAAATTTTACACGTAGCAAATGAATTAGGGAGCTTATTGACAGTGCGTATCTTTTAACTAATATTTCGATAATATTACAATAGACACAATTCCAAGATTTTACATATGGAAAATAGAAGAAGGCAAGAAGGGCATCCTTATTAGACGTGTAGACAAATAGGCTTCCAATGATTCTTTTGCTACTCGTGAGATATACATATTTGCCCCAAAATGTCACTGCGTTTGAAGAATTTTCCTATCAGAGAGCCTACAAGAAATTATCACTAGCTTATCAGTGACAATTTGTATTGAAGAAGGAAATAAAGGTATATAGAAAAAATATCAAAATTTCCCTTAGCTTTGGACGTTTGGGCAACATGAAAAATGGAAAATCCAAGAGCTCTTCTAGTAAGGACGAAGGAACATAAGTACAATATAAAGAAAAGACACATCGACAAATCGAAACTAGCTGAACATATCCCTACTCAAGATGGACAAGATATGGCAGAATGGAATAATATTTAAATCATTGGAAAAGAAGATAACAACCAGAAGAGAAAAATCGAGGAATCTGCTTGCAATCTTCTGAACGGAGACAATAGCATTGCGTCCTGTTCAGTTGATATAGATAGAACTTGGTATTCACTACTGAAATCTGAGAATTAAAATGGTAAATTGAAGATTAATTAATGTAAACATCCTGTAACTCATTTGATTGCCAACATCACCAATTGTCACTGAAAACTGAGAAGTGTGAAGACGAATACGAATTTGCTATACAAATATACATTTTTTATGTTGAAAACGGGAGCAGATTCGTTCCTGAAACGTCCAAAGCTAAGTGAAAATTTGATATTTTTTCTATATTCCTTTATTTCTCTTCTCCAAACCTTTGTTTGTCTTTGTTCAAGGCTCTTATAGGAAATTTCTTTAAACGCAGTGACATTTTGAGGTAAATCATCTGATTCATGATTTGTCCTTACAACACGCATCAGATTACACGTACCTATATTGAAATAATATTCATAATTTCATTTTATAGAAACGAGGAAAGCAAAACCCAAAAGATCTGGAATAATGAATGTACTACCTTCTTGACAGTATTTAACAGATACAATCACTTATTATCATTGAGAAGCTCCTCCATATAGGTAAAGTACATACTGAATGTGTACTATTTTCTTTTCTGGATCACCCTGGTCAAATCTCATTCAAGCAGAATATGTTCGTATTTTGATTATGAAACGTAGTTTCAGCATTCTTCGGTGAGGACGCTAGGAATCAATGTCGAAATGTTAGAAAACATTAGAACGCTTTTCCCCCTCTGAAAATTTTTTTTTGTAGAACAAAAAATACTGGGCGGTT